ACGCACGGGCGTAGATAAAGCCTCTAAATTACACGTTATGACTTCATTTTCAGAGAGGTCGTAGAAAAAACTATTGAAACATCGAATTTTAAGAACAAGCCCACGTTTTAAGCGCATTCATCAACTTTTCAGATACGGTGATGCGGCTAAAAGGATCAATTTTTAGTGAGCGATAAAACAATTCAACATGGCGAACCCGAACAAGATTGAATACCACATTAGGAGGGTACTTCAATTGGTACTATTATACTAGAAACTTATATTATTGAATAATTCGGGTTCTTTATTCAATAATGGTTGTATACCAAATTTGTCGCGATGTAAGTTGCCATTTTACATGCCAAAACCAATATCTCAGCAAATCTGTCGAACCTTAGAAGTGGGTGCGTGCCGACAGATGGTTTTAAATTCATTTAATATCTGCAGATGGAATATCCAGGAACAATTGGATCAAGTTCGATTGACTGGTTGTGTGGTATTAGGATGAAACTCGATGGATTCTTCTCTTATTTGGGAATATTAATAATGATTCGCATGTCCACTATCAAAGCTAAAAGGTGGAGGTTTACATGAAATGTGCTGAAACGATTCAGCTGAACATTACGATTATTGTCGATAAAGCTGATTAGCATCCTTAAATTGAACGACATGATGATGCTAGAATTTGTTTAATAGTGCATTCGTATTGTGTAAATGTTATGTACCTATTGAGGTCTCGAAGAAGCCTTACAATACGACATTCAATCAAATGAAACGCGCAACATTTTCGTTTATGTGTAATGAAAGGAACGTAGGTTCGAGCGTAGCTTCAGGTCGGAAATTCAGATGAGTAAATGCGAAAGCATCAAGACTTACCGGCTTCACAGTTATTTTCAAGGGGCTAAACGGGCCAGTTTGAATAGATTTAACGCATACTCACCTCCGAAAATTTTGTTACACCGTTTTTTCCTTTCAACTGTAATATTTGCTTACAATTTGCCCAACATCCCTTCTGCACATACATAATATATACCTGTTTAAATATTTATTCTGTCGTGAAATATGTAAAGCAAATTCTTGGATCGCAAACCGAATAACAATAACTCTTCTGTAAGTGTTTATGTTAGTTTGCTTTAAAACGATAAAAACGCATCTGTTCTAACATCAATGGAAATTAATCAAAGGAAAAGAAAGTTAAACTTTAATCTTACCTTAAATTACCTTTCAGTTATTGTAAGACGTGATTGAGTTTTCTTTGGTAACTGCCCGCCAGCATGCGATGTGCTTGCCAACAATGAGACTTCAGCACTTTGAGTATCCAACAAATCAAACGGTAATTTGATACCGTCGATTGAAGGAATGCAATAAATCCCAGCAAAGTTTTTTTCAAATAAATTTCTCCCGGCTGAGATAAAGAAAACGTTTTTAATACATACTAATGAGAAATGTAGGAGCGGGTGGGATTATCGGGAATTTAAGAATCCGATCACGCCATTCAGAGCTCAGGGACTAATATTTCAAGTCCGCATAGTTGGTGTCGAATAAATTTCAAATGAAATAGGTACGAAAATATTATATTTTTAAACTTACAAGTAGTACAAAGTTATTTGTGCCCTTTTATCCTTTGCATAGTCAAATTCGAATTTCCATCAGGTTAATTACATGCAATCTGGGTGAAACGCATGCAAATAATTCCCCGAAACACATCCTCTGGTGTTACGACCCAACTTGACACAGTGTCCAGTTGTCTTCTTAATGACCTGGTACTCCATATGGCAGGGTGCGTTTTCGTCTTCGGGAATTTTATCTAGATTGACCGTTTTTATTACTGGAGTGTCGTCCTCCACCACAACCTCTCGTGGATATGACGTTACCGCTGCTATTGCGACCATACTGACCATTATTACTCTTGTGAATGCCATTGGAGAACTGGAACAAGCCACGCTGCTCGAATCATTTTATTTTCCCTTACCAACGTCATAAATGAAACCTTAATTTAACGTCGCGCGTAAAATAAAAGGAAATGAAAAATTATAGAACGTCAATTGCCCGCATATTGATTTCTGCTTATACACCGCGCTACGTGTTAACAGAATAATTTTCTATTAGGAAAATCTGTAAGCGTAGACGGTTTTTCTGATCTTTTGAACTTGATTGAAATGCGACGTTAATTTTTAGATAGCTGAACACAATTAAAAGGTTTTTGTTAGTTCCCTTGAACAGAGCTGGTGCTTAAACAAAGAGACTTTTGAGGAGGGGGGGGGAGGCTAACTCCGGTAAATCTCTACATCTGAACTGTAACATGTTTATACACGTACCTGAATCAGATTCTTCCTAATAGCACTGCAGTAGTTTTGGACAGTGAGTCGCTTTGGTGAAATGAAAACGAAGGGAAGGAAATTAACATCTACCATAAATATCTCGTGCCCGGATACGTATGGAGGTTGTGGGTTCGATTCCCGCTGCCGACTGCTCTGTCCGAGGTTTTGTCAGAGGGTTTTCCTGAGATGTACGTGACTTCGCATAATGCTAGCATTATGTTGAAATCTACTACGCGAATGTTGGAGCAGAGTACCCTTCCCTCTCAGCACCCTAACTGATAACTCCATTCCTTCCGTTCCCAGTCTTAACTTTGCCCATCCTTACCTTACATTCCCGTTTTCTGGCTGAAGAGGGCCAGGAAACCCTGAGCAGCCCGCCTCCGGTACCTCTGAGATGTCGGATAAATGAAACACGTTGATCTTTTCCTTCATACGTATATGGAAACAAACACTACCTATCCATGCATAGTTTTTTTTGTTAGTTTTACAAGTACCCATGCCTTCCAGCATATCCCTTATTATCTATAAGTCTTTTTTTAATTTTTTTATTACTTTTTTATTTTTATTTTACAGGAGTTGGCCGTATCTAGGATTTTTATTGCTCTAAAAAAGGGTTACCTAGACTTCGTTGCCCGTCCCTAACCACTTGGAGGTCCCCCTGTAAATTTATTTAATAGTCTTGTTTAAAATTCTACTTAGTTTTCTTTTTTGAATTTTGCTGCAAAAATTTCCGAAAATACTTCTGAATTTTTATCTTGTAAACATTGAATTTTGTTAACACGCCAAATGATAATTCCTTTTGATTCCAATAAATTTTTAAGTCTTCTTTCAATTTTAAATTCTTCACATTCATATATCAAATGTTCAGCACTTTCTATTCCATTATTGAAACAAGTATAAATTGTGCACAACTCTTGTGCAGATAAAGCGCATTGTTTTTAACCGAAATAGCTTTTGGTTTTACATCACGCAGACGATTCAATCGCCTTTTGTGAGTACCCTCTTCCGACAATCCGTTCTTGGGGCATAAGGGAATATACCCGATCACGATAAGAGGTCGAGGAGGAGGGCTATGGTTGGTAGAAATTAATTCCTTTCATTGAGACTTACATTAGAGTACCATGAAGGATCAAACTAGTTCCACTCCCCCCTCCCCGTCCACCCCGTACTTTGATAAGAGGACAACAGAAAGAAGGGCAGTAGTTGGTAGAAAACGGTTCCTTTCGTTGATACCATTAATTAGAATACAATGAGAGATCAAATTAATTTTTAACCCCCCGGATAGGGAAAATGAAGTAAGTCTCAGAGAATCAATTGTATGCAGCAAATGGAACTACCATCATTAGGTACATACGGCATAATAAACATGAACCTCGACCTAAATCTGCGCAGAAACTTCCTATATAGATATGCATAATTGCATACAGTGCAAAACCCACGATCGAAGCAGATTTTCTAGCTCATTATGGTCGATTAAGAACCAAAGAAACATCGACACATAACAAATCACCACATACAGGCCACAGATGGACCACCCATAGCACATAGGCCGAGGAGACTCGCTCCAGATAAATTAACGGCAGCCAGAAAAGGGTTTATAACTGAAAGGGTGCGATGATTATAGTTTAGGGTGCGATGTGCAATCATTTACGTCGTGAGAAGTTATGAAACTGATGCGGGAGAGGATCACATTGTTTCGCCCCCCCCCCCTCCCAATATCCATTTCTTGATAACTTTCTTGGGTGCAATGTTTATTTCATGGGTGCGATTGGGCCAATATTTTAAATGTGTATGCGGGGATGGCTAGGGCGATATAGCTCATTGTAACTATTTGTCGTTGAAAAATTGCTACAATTTTCCTAAAATTTCAAAGAAAACATATTAATGCTAGGAATTATTGCAGTGGTTCAGGAAAATACCTATTTACCTTATCTTATACTAACTCCTCGCCAACATTTTCTATAATTTTGGGAATTTTTTTGTCTAAAATGCCGGGCTGTAAGGAGAAATAAGAAGGATAAAAAGTAAAGCAAATCTTGAATAATTTATATTTCGGTAAATTTTCGTTATTCATACAAATCACAATAATTATAAGCGATTGAATTAGCGTTAAAAAGACTAGAGAACTTCCATACCAAGTATTGTTTTTACATCAATTGTGTTTTTTTATAACTTTAGAAATATTGAAGTTGAAACGAAGTAGTACCTAAAGCGTCTCAATAAGCGCAAGTATTTTTCAGGAAAATGTAAATGATAGAAACGTAGATAACACAATAACCAATTTTGGCTATTACCGATTAGAATTATACCTACTAGGATATCTTTAAACAAAGTAACATTTACTTCCTCATTTACCTATATGAGTCATATGCATATGTCCTGATTTGCCGGATTTTTTTGCAAACTGTGCAATATACGAAATCAAACCTAGCAAAAAGACGCTATATTATTTTTTACAAAACAGAATGATACAATTTTACTTATTTTAAAACGACGTAATACATCAACTTTATTACTTGGTAATCTAAACTAAATTTATACTGTGCCCAAACCCGAACCACGCCACTGCGTAAATTAGTTTTACAATTACTTTCAAAGTAGGTACTGCACAAATTTCTATTCATTTTAATTCGTGCAAATGAGTAATTCCTTAGTTTGACTTCTAGTTTCTACCACTGTTTGTTATGACTAAATTATGTTATTAGAATAAAATATTTGGGGGAACTCCGAACTGAATGATTCATACTGGTACATTCCTATCGCATTATGTTTATATTTATCTTTAGTCATTTAAGTAGAACGGAATGGAAGTAATGAAATCAATGCTTTTAGTTTTATTATAGTGACCGTGTATTTTTGTAATGAAAAGGAGATGGAAGATATACCAGAGGTAGGTCAATATTAAAATTGTTGTGCTTTTCAATTTACATTACAAGTGTGTAGCAGAACGCTACAATAGGTATGAGGTTATGTTGACTATTTAATATTTCGGAAAATTGATAAAACATTGCAATTAGTATCGTGTATCTATAAAGCAGGGCTATGTTGTGGACAAAATATAGTGCGTTAGGACCCAGATAAGTGACTGTTTATTTTGTATGGAAAAGCGGACGTAGGTAAATTATTTATAGGTACGTTACGTAGAAGTTATCGACCTTCACAGTGGCGTTTCATTCTATCGTATACGGTCTCGATTTTGCGATACACGGTGGACAGACCGACCTAGGTACACTTTAACCTCCTTTAGCTTTTCTGGCATAACTTTCGGCAAATGGGCCAGAAATCCCTGAAAACCATGTGCCGTATCAATTTTTCAATAAAATGAATACAGACGCATTCAATAAAACACCAATTAATTATTACACTATATGCTAATAGTTTAATTCCCAAAGACCTTTTTGTTAATTGTCACAATATTGCATTTTAATTAAGGCTAGGATTTCATCTATGTTAAATGTAGGGGAAACATGCTTCTGTATATCTTGTTCATTTCTGTAACCAGTTTGATGATAAAATTCTATATTCAAATTCCTGAAACATGTCTCTATATAAGGATTCGTTTTTTATCGTCAATTCACTCCAATTACTGTGTAACATGATTTGAAAAGAAAATAGGCATTATTTTCAACATTTGAAAGCAACAAAAGGTTTGGGATGATCATGAAATGGGGAAGCATGTTTTCGCTATATTTAACATAGGCGAAATCCCAGCCTTAAAAAGCGATTTTTATTCTTTTTGTTTTTATTTATATGTTAGTAAACGGCCATTTATATTCATCTTTCTGCCATAACCTTTTTAATAATAATAATAATAATATTGGCTTATTGTACCCATCAATATGTATGTTGGTAAGTATGAATTACATACTATCCCTAGATTTAAATGTACGTGTGATTTTTTTTTTCTTTTTTTTTTAGGACCCTACATAACTTCACCAGACACAGACACAGACACTCTCGCAGACACTGATCGTTACCTACTTGATTTTAATCCGTGCGATTAGTTAACCAGGCTAGACCTGAGTTCTCACAAGAAACACCGACCATAATAATAATAATAATTTTATTTTTTTTATTTATTTAATTTATTTATTTCTTTTATTTTTTTTAGGACCCTACATAACTTCACCAGACACAGACACAGACACTAATCGTTACTTGATTTTAATCCGTGCGCTTAGTTAACCAGGCTAGACCTGAGTTCTCACAAGATACACCGACCATAATAATAATAACGATCTTTATTTAGGGACATAAAGGAAAAGCCGAAAGGCCATTACTCCCCCCTCTACAAGCTTCTAAACTGAAATTAACTTAAGAATGTGATAATGTAAACTATAAGGTACATCGAATATAATTAAGGAAATATTTCATCATTTGTGAATTGGCGCTTTTCAGTTTTGTTTAACTAACTTTGAATCGGGCCCAGTTTTTTAAACTTTTTAAAAGTAATTTTTATTCAGTACACAAAACTGCAAAGCTATATGCCCATTATTTAATCTACCAAATAAAGTTATTCTTGCACTCGAAATGGAACACCCTGTATAAGTTTGTTAATCTAAAGTCAGTCTCATCTTGACTTCACTTCAATTTAAATTATGATTGTCATAATTTCCAATGTGAAATGTCATTTTAATGTGTTTGCCCGCTGATAATTAACAATTTAGTTTAAATTCTGTAAGTTGAGATGGGTGGGTGCATGGTCGAAGGGAGTGCATTGCTCACAAGACACATCACAAAGGTTAACATGTCACCTCATGCCCGAGGGAATTCTGGGAGCGAGGTGAGGCAATGGAATTCAGCCACATTTATGTCAAACGGTTATGGAAACTTTCATCAAAAGTTCATACTAGAGTTCATATGTGCAGCAGAGCTGTGGAGGCCACTTACCCGATATACAATTCGATACATAGGTAATCCTATCGTGTATACTTTATGAATGAATTAATAAATCTCTTATGTGCTTTCTACTAAAATCACTATAGTACCCTTTATTATAATTCCATAAAACTCTTTAGTATTAAACTATTGTTATTTTATACTATTTTTTTATATCCTTTTGCCGGTGATTTCGTGTACCGCTTATTAGTTATGTCGTGCATCTATTATTGCGCGTTCCTCTGTTAATTTCAGGAAGTGCTTTCGGATTCGGAGTACACCTTCACGCCTTCAAAGAACTCTACGTTTTAAATGTCAAGTCTATGTCTGCCGCAGTTTCGACTATAAAACCTAAAATCCCATTTTTCTCTGTTCCCCTGGGAATTTCGAAAGTGTTTTAGTAAATCAGAAATCTTCGCCGACATACGTCCAAGCATTCACCAAAGTTTCATTACAATTAGATGAAGGGTTTAGGAAGGTATAAGTGACATGCACACAGAGAAATATTGTTTCTATTTATATGTATATATACTACGAACCGAGCTACAAACTATAATAGCAGGTCATTAATCTGGCGAAATGTAGAAATGCTAAATACAATAATAAAATTGGAAAAATTCTGCTTCGGCCGAGAATCGAACCCGAGCCGCAAATTTCCGTTCCCTATACAAGATGGTGATCGGTTGCACGAACTCGTATACGATATGGAAGCAGTGAATGTTTTTACATATTCTTTTTCTTTTTAAAATTTCCTTAAGGTACGACTGGGTTCCGACACAACAACAAAAATCCTAACATTGACTTAAAACTCTTATAAACTTGAATAAGCCGATATCAATCAAATTCCATAAATTTCAATGAAATCACTACTCGAATTAAAATCGGAAATAACTGTCGGATATTAGAAAAATTAGAAAAATCTGATAGTAGGGGAGCTAACACGAAATCCACTGAACGAGAATGATCAAAATTTTAACCGATGGTGTTCCATTTTGCCCTATCAGAGTATGCTAAAATCGATCGTCTGCCGCCTCAGGTCATACGACTTAAGGCGCTGCGGGTACTTCTTGTGGTACCAATTCTGAAAGGTTGTTTTTCGAAAAAATAAGTTATATACCAAATGAAAACGTTGATAATAGCTCTTAAAAAAATATTTAAAAAAATCCCGCGCATTTGATAACTCCGTAAAAAAACAATTCTTAGTCGGTTTTTCATGAACTTTCTACGGATATAACTAGGTTACGGTGGGACGAATGAAGCTGATTTTTTTTACAGACTCATGATAGGTACTACTAATGACTTAACGGTGTTTCGTTTTTAAATTTTGTCTCTAATTACAAGATTATCTTATTAGCTTAACATTATAAGATATCTTATAATTAGAGAAAAAATTTAAAAAAGAAACACTCTCGTAGTCATTGGCTGTACCTATCATTAGTCTGTAAAAAAAATCAGCTTCATTCTTCCAACGGTAACCTAGTTATATCCGTAGAAAGTTCGTGAAAAACCGACTAAGAATTGTTTTTTTACGGAGTTATCAAATGTGCGCGATTTTTTTAAATATTTTTTTAAGAGCTATTATCAACGTTTTCATTTGGTGTATAACTTATTTTCTCGAAAAACAACCTTTCAGAATTGGTACCACAAGAAGTACCCGCAGCGCCTTAAGTCGTATGACCTGAGGCGGCAGACGATCGATTTTAGCATACTCTGATCTGATAGGGCAAAATGGAACTCCATCGGTTAAAATTTTGATCATTCTCGTTCAGTGGATTTCGTGCTAGCTCCCCTACTATGAGTAATGACAGATATTAGCGAATATTGCGAAAGATATCTCACAAATCCCTAAACCTCACGAAATGTAAGAACTCAATAGTAAGAGCGTGCTAATGTTTGCCTTCAAACAAACAGCATTTGTATTCTTTAGGCAAACTTAATTTAATGAAGTTTACTTGTAATAAAATCAATTAAATTTGCCACTGTTAGAAGTTAGTTGCCTGCATGTCTCACTTTCTAATTATGCAAACAGTGCAAATTGTAATTACAATTTAATTAGTCGGAGAAGTACTATAGTTGATAAATTATATTTGCTAAGGAATTTAATAGTCGTCTTATAGGGATTTCGCAGAAGCAATTAGCGCAGATAATTATGTACAGTTTAAAGTTTTGATGGCGATCTGACAGGTAATAAGATTTGCTGAACAAATTCAAAAGTCTCATTTGTCCAACTTTTTCGTAAAGATCTGCGTAAGAATAGATTCGAAGCCTTAGGGTTACGAAACAAATTATGCAAACCGCGTACGTTAAAAGATTAAAGTGAATACTTATAAGAAGTGCTATTCTCGGGTACTAATTTATTATTTTCACAGAAGAAAAGCGATAGAATTGCACATATTCGCGCATGCAAGTCCTAGAGCCTATGGATGTGTGGCTTTTATTAAGAACTTAGCTAGCGGAAAATTTAGTTTTATTGTCTCTAAGCATAGATACGAAAAAGATTGCCGTGTTTTAGAGATTGCCAAGTTAAAGAATTACGCGACATGGAGGTATTGTCCGGATAAGAGAAAATTCTGCCGACCTGATTACAAGAGGAGGGAATTCTCTCCTCTTCTATTTAAAGCCAACTCCCTTTCTTTTCAAACATTCCAGACCATCTCCTCCTTGTCAAAATGACTGCGTCGTCGAATCACTAATATCTGTGTTTACGTCGACGAAAAGGCATCTGTTTATCTAATTTAATTAGCACTTATCGCAATGACCGGAGATAACGAGATGAGATTTAACAAAGCATTTCGCGGAAATAATTTTAGATGTTCCTTATCTCTCCAAATGAACAATAAAATAAAAGCAAAATACGTCATTATTTAAAAATTAAGCATCAATAAAAATAAAAATACTTGTTCCAGATTTTATTCGGTGTCATATGATATAACAATCATATTTGACGTGAGGTTTACATAAAATGGCTAATTGAGATTTGAACGCCTACAACTTTTGGATCAAAAAATGTAGAGGTTCCATTTATCTAAGTATGTTTTAGTTGAATGTTGCACCTCTGCATACAATTACTCTGTCTTCGCAAAACGAAACGAGCAGAAAACCGATACTACATTCGGTTGATTAAAGTTTTTTTGTGGTTTTTGTTGCAGAATGTTTCGTGAAGCTTTAAAAGTGTTAAAATGTGTAGTAAATGTAGGATCAAATCCATGAAAGGTTTGATGCATATAGCTTATTAGTCTTAGTCCTGCAGCCCACATCTCTGCCAATTTACCTAGGTAATTAAATTGAGTCGTAGCAGAGATAATTGTATTTTATCCGTGTTGACGGGGTATTTGCATATTTTATCATTTCAGAGTTTTACTAGCCGACCAGGAACTGCCGACGTTGGAAAGGACTACGAAATAAAAATCGCAGCGTTACTATGTTTGCGTTGCATGAATAACGTTGGCATACAAAATATGTGGCTTATTATGAATGCGGATAAATGTGGCGCTTTTGACGACGTTATTTTATCCTTCGAGAATGCAGACCGTAAAAATGTGACATATCTCATACAGCTAAAGCATACAATGAAACCATCCTCCCTGAAACGAAGGGAATTGGTTATAGAACAAGGAAATTTTTATCTCCCAAAGTATTATGACACTATCAAGGACATAAAGCGAGAGATGGATGCCGAAAGTAGCAAAAAATCGGATTTATTGAAACATTTGGACCGTAATAGAAATAGAATGGTTTATATCCTATTCACAACAAGAGGAAGTCCTGAAGGTGATTATTTAATCAACGTTAGCAAAACATCAAATGCGGAAAGCGAGTGGTTACTCCACGAGTGTATAAATACTAACGGGGAAATATTTTCGTTTAATTACGAACAATTAAATTTCGAATATGAAAACGCATACCAGCACTGGATGGAAAATTTTTACTTATTTACTAGACAAGTTAACATAAGCAAGGTAGATGTTCTAATTCAAACTTATATTGAAAATTTCATCAGACCTGTGAAACTTTCTAAACCTGCAATGGATGAACTTTATCAAAAATTCATGTTACATGTATCTCAGTGGGCAAAAGGAGAACTAGGAGGATTCTACCCTTTAACGAAAACTCTTATATTAAAAGTTCTTTTTGAGTGCTTACTAAAGCCATATATGTGGAATTTCGAAGAGAGAAAACCGGACGTTAACGTTAAAATCTGTGCCCATTTACTATCTCACATATCAGAAACTGCAATAACAGTGGTAGCTAGTGATAGTATCGTGATGACGTTCTTAACGTCTCACATAGAGGGAATAATCCACGAGTATTCGATTGTGAACGACCACAAGGTTCTATGGAAAAGACACCCGGAAATTGTCAGCAAAGCAATCTTCAGAACAACCGGGAGATATAAAAATATTGCAATGGAAGCAGCTTACGAATTCTTATGGAAAACTAACGAACTTCCACTATTACTAGAAGCTAAGACCGTTGAAAATTGCAAAATGGTGCTTCAATTACTAAACATTTTTCGGGGTATTTTTAAAGTGATTGTACTGGTTGACTGTCTGCAGCATGTGGATGTAAATGGAGAAATTTGCACGTCCTTGCGTGATTTAGGCGAGAGTGGTCGTATTTTTGTTTTGAATTATCCAGTCAAATTGCAAAATCGGCAACATGTCAAATTATCGTCCTACGTCAGTCCTGAGAAGTTTCACCTGATCACAATTAAGGATATCATTTACATTTTCATGGACGAATTCAATATCGGCGACCTTCCCCTTTCAACGCCCGATATTTTCATTACACAGTCTCTAGACCCAGTGTGGTTAAAAAAGAAAGTTTTAAAAGAAGTTAGGGTGGATAAGTTCGTCATTCACTATACGCAACTTGATGACGTAAAAACTGTGCTAGGCAAAGTGGGAATGTCGTTGGAAAGTAATCTTGTACTTACTTGGTTTCCAAATTGCTCGAAAAGTTTGGCGGAGTACCGAATCATTATCGTGGGAGATGTTGGCGAAGTATCGAGGATTGTTGCTATGTGCAATACTTCCAACACGCACTTCTTACTGATGCAGGGTCGGGGTGGTTTGGAATGGGTGAGCACATATGGAACCAATGACAATATTGCTGCATATAGGAAGGTTAGAAATATGCAAGATTTAAGCGATTACGAGACTGTTCCAACGCTTGATGCAGTTCTGAAGGTGGTGACCCCACAAATTAACATCATTAGTGCCAATCCAGGTATGGGGAAATCGACAATGTTAGCCTTCATTGCAAATACTGCACCAACGGACCAATGGATACTAACACTAAATCTGATCGATCATCTGAATTACTATAAGAAGAGCCCCGATTCGAAAGGCCACCTTCAGTACTTTGCCAAACATTGCATTAGTAGCACCTTAGCACGGATGGTCTTTGATATTCACGTAGAGACCAAAAAAGTTGTGCTATTATTCGACGGGTTTGACGAGATTCCCTCGAACTTACAGAAGAAGGTTATTAAAATGATTCAAGAATGCAAGGAATTGGGTTGTGCAGTTTACCTAACTACGCGTACTAACGTGCAACCATTTCTGGAAGAGTCACTACGAACCTTTGCTCGTTCTATTATACCATTTTCGCACCAGGACCAATTTGAGTACTTGAAGAGGTACTTCACTCAAAACTGTAGCAAAGATCCAACCGCTGTTGAATTAATTGATACCTTCACGAACAGTCTTTTAAGAGCAGCCTCTGATAACTTGAACGATCATGATCAGAGGTTCACGGGTGTTCCGCTCCAAACGAGGTTACTGTGCGAGGTTTTCAAAAAAGATTGCTACACTTACTTGCGTACTCAAACATTTGAAAACAAACACTTCGATCTAATCTATCTATATAAACATTTCATCCGTGAGAAAATCAATATTGTGTGCGACAAGTTTGGGAAGGGCTCCGAGGATTTGTTTCATCATTATAAAGCATACCGAACGCTGTACGCGTTACAATCGATATTTTTAAAAGAAGATTTGGAAGGTTTGAATATTGATGAAAAGCTGAAGCAGGTTGTGCTGTTGTTCCCTGATACTCTGCAGCAACTCCAAAAGGACGGAATCGTTACAATTCGTAATAAAATCGAAGCAAAATTTGTTCACAGAACTTTTGCCGAATATCTTACGGCGAAGTGGTTATCAAAAAACTTCGACGATGACGATAACGCCGAAATTGTGATAAGTCTCGTGAGGAAGATTTTCGACCCTAACTTTATTACAGTGCGTAATATGTTTGATCGCTTAATGGCTAAAAGAAGTCCGTTACATTTGGCAGTAATTAATCGTCACAATACCACAGTTAAAATGATTGTTGAAAGTGACAAAGGATCTCTACTGTCAGTGGATAGGGGCGATAGGTCTGTGCACCATTTGGTGGCCAGTTGGGGTGTCCACCATCCGACTGGAGAAATGTCGAATAGCGAACTGAGGGTCTTAGACGAGATGATTTCAAAGGATCCAATGATTGAGGTTCTAAACTTGCTCGGGCAAGTTGATTGTAGAAAGGACGGTGTACTAAACTACACCCCAATTGATTACGCAATCGCGAGCGGCTCTCTTCACATTGGTGACGTTTTATGTTCTCAAATAGACATTGTCGATAATTGCATCACTCTACCGGAACTCGATACTATGTACCTTTCTTTTTATTTCGAACTATTTCCACTAAGATTTTTGGATTTTGCTATAAAAAAGCGCACAATTACTGACGAGGTATTGAAATTGGAAAAGCGCGCGTGCGAATTTGAAGGAGCAATACATTCCGCTTACCGTGCTTCCATAAAGGGCGGGGTGGCAGAGACTATTGTGCAGCTACCAACTCATAACGACTCGGAGGAATTTTCTCCATTACACGTAGCAGTAATTACCGGGCAGTTGCACATTGTACAAGCGTTACTCGAACAGAATGTCAACGTAAATGCTTCTGATAGCTCCGGAAAAACTCCCTTGCACTGGGCAGCAATCAAAAACAATCCAAACGCGCTTCGAGCACTTTTATCCAACTCTGCCGATCCAAACGTATCAGATCTGAACGAAATGACCGTTTTGCATTATCTTTCCATGATAAATACTGACACAGATCCTGAAATTATATCCACGTTATTGGAAAGTAATGCAGGTGTGTACACCAAAGATAAATACGGTAACACTCCATTGCATTACGCCTTCCATTACAGTACCCAGAAATTTACCCATTTATTTCTCGACTCCAAGGCACTTCGTAATAACTTATCAATTGCGGATGCATCTGGCTCCACTATTTTGCACTGCGCTGCATATAAGGGCAACGAGAGTATAGTGATACAACTTCTAGAATACGGACTAGACGTAAACACAAGTGATACTGATGGAAAAACTCCCTTGCACTGGGCATCTCAAAAAGGGCACCTAAAGGTGGTACGCTGTCTAGCCTTAAAAGGTGCCGATTTGAATGCGGTAGACAATTTCGGTAGAACTCCTTTGTATGTAGCCGTTGACAGCAACAAAGAGAAATTGGTTAAATTTCTGCTAGATAATGGTGTAAGCACCTCCCAAAAGGATACGTACGGAAGAACTGCACTGTATCAGGCGATAGCAAAAAATTACGAACCCATTGTCGCTCTATTATTAGATCGAAAAAGCGATGTCGATGCGAAAGATAACGAAAATTTAAGCATTATGCATTGGGCAGCGTGGAGTGGTCACGAGAACATCGTTAAGTTACTTTTGTCTAGGAAAATGGATCACAAATCACAAGATAAATACGGACGAATTCCGCTTATCTGTGCTGCACAATATGGACATATTGGCGCCTTAAACTCATTACTAAATGACAGCGATCTGTATGCAAAAGATGAAAACGATATGAACTCTCTGCACTGGTGCTGTTGGAATGGGCACATAGACATTGCGCGAGTTCTTCTTTCACGTACACCAAACCTTGACGTACAAGACAGCAAAGGGCGAACGGCCATAATGTGTTCTTCTCATAATGGACACGCGAACATTGCCCGTCTGTTGCTAACACAGAACGCCGACGTTAACTTGGCAGATAACAACAACATGACGCCGCTAAATTGGGCGGCCCATAACGGCTACTACGAAACAGTCAAGGTGTTATTGCAAAGAAACTGTATCCTTGAAACCAAAAGCCATTTGGGCCGGACCGCGTTATCCAATGCCGCCAGCAAAGGTCATCAGAAAATCGTGGAGGTCCTATTGTCCAACTCGTTTCCTGTGGAGGTGAGTGATTCAGAAGGAATGACAGCGTTGCATACGGCGGCAGTGCATGGTCATGTCGGCGTAATTAAATCTCTAACCGAACACGGAACCAATTTGGAAGCATTAAGCCATTACAATAAAACCGCTTTGATTTACGCCGCTAATTATGGACAAGCACCCGTTGTAAATTACCTTCTTACTAAAAATGTCTCGCTCAATGCCGCGGATGATGAAAATATGACGGCGCTCACTTGGGCAGCGCACGATGGCCATAATGATATCGTCGCGTTGTTAGTGAACAATGGAGCGAACATGGAAATTCCAAATAAACATGGAAGAACTCCATTGCTGTGTGCTGTACACAACAATCATTATGACGTGGTTAAAACGCTACTATTGAAGGGAGCCGATGTTAACCGTGCGGACAACGAGGGCACGTATTGTATCCATCAAGCTGTCTACAATGGAAACCTAGAAACGTACAGGCTGCTGGAGCACAAATTTCCCGTCGACTTTAGAGACACTGTCAACAGAACCCCGATTATTCACGCAGCTTTTAACGGCCACAGTGATCTTGTAAAGATGCTGTTGGAAAAAGAAGCCTGCATAAATGCACAGGATGATGAGGGGATGAGTGCACTACATTGGGCATGCTATAATGGTCACGTAGATACCGTGCGTCTATTGCTGTCAAGATCTGCCGATGCAAATGTTCGAGACGTAGAAGGAAGGACCCCATTGGTCTACGCTATAGTGAAACAAAACGAGGATATAGTATCATTATTGATCGATAAAGCCGATCCGAATCTAAAAAGTGATCAGAACGTAAGTCCACTGCACGTTGCTGCAGGAGTTGGGAACACGAAGATAGTGGATATTTTGGCAAGTAACGGTGCTGACGTAAACACGAGAAATAACGATGGTGCCACTCCTTTAATGTGCGCCTCTGGTAATGGCAGAGAGGATGTAGTAATGCTGCTCATAGCAAAAAAGTCGCGTGTAGAAGAGCGAGATAATAATAATTTAACAGCGTTAGATTGGGCAAAATTCGGCAATCATGAGTCTGTAATTTCGTTATTAGAGAACAGTTAAAGCGTAAATTTGCTCTTGCTTCCAGATGGATCAACGGATTTGTTTGAGAACAGAGTAGACTCCAAATATATCGGCCAGCTTTGAACTAGAAAACGAACTTGTCTGATTTACCAAGGAATATGACTCAAGACTTCAAGTGCCAATTTTTACTTCATAGTGATATTTATTGAATTCATCAGTTGATGAAGATATCAAAACCAAAAACACCACTCTTCTGTTAGGTTTATCGCCGAATCATGTTTTTGGTTTTCAATAAATTCTTATTTGCAAACGTATATCTGATAATTATTCGGTTGATTTATCGTAAATCTGACGATAGCTTACAGTACGATCAACCAGATTTGAATTGACATGTATAAATTTGACAAGAAATTTGATGCGAGATTTGATGTAAGATTTCTAACCATAAACTTAAAAAAGTTACAAAATCTTATCATGCTGTAAATTATCTTCAGAATGTTTCAAAACTTAAAACCTGTAACAAGTACTCGTTGCCATTGGCAGCGCCAGACAAAGTACTTTCTTTGGATAGGACTTTTTTTGTTAAAAAATTAAGCGTTACTTTTTTTCACGAGTTTGTGTTTCCATGGCGTTTAGTCCTACGTAGTGAGAGGTCTGCCCGTCTCTCCACTTTTTTATGACGTCACACGTGCCACGCTGTGATTGGCTGCGCCATGTTGTGACAACTTGGATTTCTGCAGGACTTGTGGGTGATTGGGACCACCTAGTGGGGATTTTTTGGTGTTATAAGAATCGGGAATATAGTTTTCTGGAATTAGCATCTAGGGACTAATTCATGAAATAATGTCGTGGTAGTAAATTCGAAAATAAATGTATACGGAGTTACGAAAGACGTATACATGGTGAAATTTAAATATACAGCGTGTAATGATAGTTAAGTACAGGGTATTTGTGATCTACGTCTTTGTGCGGATGCCAATAGGCCGAAAACTGGGCTTTACGAAAAATGTATATTATGATGGAGACAGCGATATGTTTGTTAGCTTTTTTTTCTTCCACGCCTCCATGCTGACTGATTCTGTCACTTAAAAAAAGTCTTTTCGACCCATAGACGCGCTCCTGTGCCCACCCTCACTTCACTCACTCTACTCGACTTAATAATTTCCACTGACTGAAAATAATTGATGTCATATGAAAGGATTGTCTGGTCCTAATGTCCATTTCTTTAACTCGACTCATAAAAATCAAGATCAACAGTAAAAATATCAGGTTTGATACTTGCAACATCTCTTGCAACATTTCAATGAACTTTAGATGAGTCTCCTACATTATTAACAAATGAGCTCATCGATTAAAGTTCGATCACAGTCTCGTCTGACTCCGATAACATTGAAAACGCCAGTGTAAAGCCATAAATTATGTTGACCGTCGAGAACATTGTGGAGTGACAGGCGAAAATTTAAAATGTGGATATGGTATCACGAACGGAGTGTCGGAAGAAACTCCTCACCCCCATTACAAAGGGAAGCTTGTGTATATCGCCAAGATGAATCTGACGATGAGGGTCAAGATTTAAAATGTGGACAAAGCTCGACGAGATGCATTTGTCTGTGGGGTCAAAACATCAAATTCATATGTACAGATATCTAAATATTTGAAGCAAAGTTGGACTTAAACGTTGCAAGTGCTTTAAAGACCAGACGTATTTTTTACTGTACCTGCAATACAATTTAAAAAGGGAAATAAAATAAAATCTAATTGACGTTATACTCGAAAACATTTCGAATTAAGTGGGCTGTTAATTCGTAATTCGATGATTGCCATGGAAACGTCACTTGACGTTCGCTTATAAAAATAACCGTCTTTGTAAATAGCACGACTTCGATTGAAAAAATAATACACCGTCCTTTCAACGGCTTGTTGCAAAAGCAGAAGAAAAGTTGGTAGGTGCAAAATCCAAATCCAGTAAAGCCTATTATAAAGAATATGAAAAGTTGTTGTCTTGGATGAATATGAAGCATCTTATGAACAAAGTCTTAAATGCATCGATAATGCTGGCATATATGAATATGTACCATTTGGGTAAGGGTTGATGAAGTGGCCACTTTAACATTCTAATGACATCTGTCACTTCTGTTTCAAATGGGACGCGAAGCACGATATAAAATGATGTTCAGAACATATGCATCGATAATGCTGGCATATATGAATATTATGTACCATTTGGGTGTGGGTTGATGAAGTGGCCACTTTAACATTCTAATGACATCTGTCATTCCTGTTTCAAATGGGACGCGAAGCACGATATAAAACGATGTTCAGAACATATGACAATGCTGTTTATTATGGAAACGACGGCAGAACCTAAGTTTGCTCTTTTTGACGTCTAAATTAAATTCAGAATTGTCAGAAGGTTTGCAATGATTTACATGCCTTCTGCCATAAAATAAAGTTTTGTATTAAGTATACACGACGATAAAGGGAAACTATAACTAACTAAAGGGAAAATATCCCTTTATCGTCTTGTATAATAAATAACTATTACTTCACCCCGGAATGGCAGTTTTATAAGTCATTGAAATAACATTACCTAGCAACTTTAACACACTTGTGTTTTAAAAGCCCAATTTCACACGCATTTGAATGTTCAAAACGGATTCAGGTATAATAAAAAATAAAATAAAATCCATCCCTAGTGGAAACACTTCCATAATGAGGATGCAAATGGATGGAAGGCTGTGTAATACGAGGTAAAGGCAATGAGAAATCATGTAGGTATACAAATAATAAAATAAAGAACTGGAATAGCTAAGGTCACAAGGAAAGCAATAATAAAATAAATAAAACAAAACAATAAATAAACAAAAGCGAAGTTGGAGTTGTTGGGTTTATTGATCAATGCGCAAATCAACACAAAACATACTTTCAAAGCATTTCAAAAATAGATAGTGCTACGTTACGTTACAACCCCCTATAGAAATTTTAATAGGCACAAAACTATTACATAAGTTTTCTTTTAATTTCTTCTAAACGAAAGGCGCATAAAACCTGAGTATTGGCGCACAAATCAGCACAAAACTATGGTGTTTTGTGTCTCGTCCATACGAACATTATATTGTGTAGCATGGAGGTGGACCCTCAACTGTCATTTTGATTTTCTAAGAAACGGAAGGGGCATAAAACTTTACGCATCGGTTTACAAAATTCAGCCGCGCCTGTTATTTGTCACATATCGGCCTAATGACCTTAATAACTTAACCATGCATCGGCCCCGAAAATCAAAAAAGGGCTCATAACACATTATTCACATTGTTAGATTTCGAGATCCCTATACAAACCCCCTATACGAGGTGTCAATTTTAAAACTTGCAGTCGGCCATATTTTCCGAACTAAAGAAAATATTGAAAATCGCGCAAAACCGTTTCGGGGGCATCGAGGGGGAACCATAATGACGTTATGAGTGACAACCCCCCACCCCCCATTAACCACCCAGCCGTCCCTCTTCAAAAATCCTAAATGACAACCCCATACTTGTGACACGTCGTTGGAAAGCTACTGACAAATGCTTTCCGGTGGTACTAATACAGCCAATATTCATTAAGACAATTTAACAAAAATTTAATAATTTAATAATCTTCTTTAGTTTGGAAAATATGACCGACTGCAAGTTTTAGAATTGACACCCTGTATATACCAACGTATCTACGTTCCATTACCCACTCATTAAGATTAACCTTTTGGCCACACTAGTACTTACAGATTTTATTATTTCAGACTTTTGATAATCGGCCAGGAACTGTCGATGTTGGAAAGGACTACGAAATAAAAATTGCGGTGTTACTATCTTTACGGTGTATTAATAACACCAAGATACGAAATTTCTGGCTTATTGGAAATGCAGATAAGTGTGGAGCTTTTGACGACATCATTTTATCCATCGAAAACCAGGACTGTAACATTATAACGTACTTTATACAGCTCAAACATGTAATGAAACCAAAAGCTCTCAAAAGGAGGGAGCTCGTAACGTATAAACCGAAAAACAAAGATTTTTACCTCCCAAAATATTATAACACTGTGAAGTCTATAAAGCAGCAAATGGATGCCGAAAATAATTCAAAATCGGATGTAATGAAATATTTAGACCGCCATAGAAACAGTATGGTTTATATCCTTTTTACAACAAGAGATAGTTGTAAAGGTGATCATTTAATCAACATTAATAAAGGATCAAGTGCAGAAAACACGCTGTTACTTTACGAATGTGTAAATACAGACGGAGAAATCTTATCTTTCAATTACGAAAACTTAAATTTAGAAATTGAAGATGAATACCGACAATGGATGGATAACTTTTATCTATTTACTAAGCAGGTTCATATAAAGAAAGTGGATGCTATAATACAAGATTACATTAGAAAGTTAATTCATCCCGTTGAACTTGCTAAGCATGTAATGGATGAACTTTACCAAAAGCTAATGTTGCTTGTATCTCAATGGGCAAAAGGTGAGCTAGGGGGATTTTACCCGTTAAATAAAAATATAATATTAAACGTTCTGTTTGAGTGTCTAACAAAATCGTACATGTGGAATTTTGGTGGGAATAATCCAAATACTGTAGAGCTCCGTAGCGATGATTTCTTTCGCATTTCAAACTCTGCGGTAACCGTTATCCATAGTGATGATGTCGTAAAGCAATTCTTAGTGAGTCACATATACAGAATTATTGAGCAATACTCAGAGGTAAATGAACACAAGGTGCTTTGGAAGAGACATCCCGAGAAGATTAGCAAATCAATTTTTAGAGTGACAGGAAGGTACAAAAAAATTACGAAGGAGGCCGCTTACGAATTTCTATGGAAAATTAAGGAGCTTCCTCTTTTACTAGAAGTGAAGACGATGGAAGATTGCAAAATATTATTTCAACTACTTGGTATCTTCCCAGAAATGTTTAAAGTAATCGTATTGGCCGAATCTGTTGAACACATCGATGAAAAGTTGCAAATTTGCTCCTCGTTACATCATTTAAGCGAAGGTGATCGTAATTTCGTTTTGAATTACCCAGTCAAACTACAAAACAGGCCATTCGTAAAATTGTCATCTTTTGTAAACCCAGAGAACTTCCATCTTGTTACCATTAAGGACATCGTATATATTTTCATGGACAAATTCAATATCGGTGGTGATCCTCCGTCTATACCAGAGATATTTATTAAACAAACTACAGAACCGGTATTGCTAAGATCAGAAGTATTAAAAGAAGTTAGTGCGGAAAAATTTGTAATTTACTGCCTGCACATTGGAGACATGAATGTTTTCTTGGGTAAGTTGGGAATTTCGTTAGAAAACGATGATATACTTACTTGGCAACCAAATTGCACAAACAACATAGCTAAAAATCATCAAATTATCCTTGTCCCTGATTCCAGTGAGATTTTAAACGTTATCAACATGACCAACTCTACTACTCATCTTCTGATACTAACATGCAAAGATAAATTAGAATGGATAAATACTTTTGGAAGCTATCAAAACATTGCGTCATACAGGAAAGATATAAAGATGGAAGATTTTAAAAATTACACCCGTCCCATGCATGATGATTTCTTAAAAAAGATGGCCCCCAAAATTAACATAATTAGTGCTGACCCCGGCACGGGCAAGTCTACCATGTTAGCCTTTATTGCAAACACCGCGCCAACGGATAGGTGGATATTATTAATAAATCTGATCGATCATATCAATTATTACAAAGACTACGACGCTTCGAGAAATCATGTTGAGTATTTTGCTACACATTGTATCAATAACCCTTTGTCCCGATTGATTTTCGATGTCCACTTAGCAACCAAGAAGCTTATGATATTGTTTGATGGCTTTGACGAAATTCCATTTAATGTGCATAAAAAAGTCGTTAAAATGATTCGTGATTGTGAGCAGTTGGGCTGTGTAGTTTACCTAACAACGCGTACGAATATGCAGGCATTTTTAGAGAAATCATTCCAAACCTTCGCTCGTTCGGTTACGCTATTTTCGCCGCGTGATCAATTTGAGTATATGAAAAGGTATTTCACGCAACACTGCAGTGACACCACCGACACTGCAGAATTGATTGATACCTTTACAAATAATCTGTTAAAAGCAACCGCTGGCAACTTAAACGATCAGGATCAGAAATTCACTGGAATTCCACTACAGGCGAGTTTATTGTGTCAGGTCTTCAAGAAAGATTGCGTGTCTTACTTGCACAGTCAAGTTTTTGAAAATAAACACTTTGATCTGATCTACTTATACAAACAGTTCATTAGTGAGAAAATCAAAATAGTATGCGACAAGTTTGGAAAGGGTTCCGAAGATTTGTTTTATCACTACCACGAGTATCGAACACTGTTTGCGTTCCAATCGATATTTTTAAAAGAAGATCTTGAAAGTTTGAATGTTGATCAAAGGCTAAACCAGGTTGTGATATTGCTCCCCGACATCTTGCATCAACTCCAAAAGGACGGGATCGTTACAATTTGCAAGGAGACCGAAGTTGCATTCATTCACAGAACTTTTGCCGAATATCTTGTGGCGAAATGGTTATCCAAACATTGTGATGATGATGATGACAACACAGAAATAGCTAAAAATCTCATTAAAAAAATGTTCGAACCTAACTTTGTTACGGTACGAAATATGTTTGACCGATTAATGGCCAAAAGATGCCCATTGCATTTAGCAATCATTAATCGCCAAATAGCCGAAATTGAAATGATTTTGGAGAGAGACAAGGCATCACTGTCACATTTGGATAGGGGTGGTAGGTCAGTGTACCATTTGGTTGCCGGTCTGGGTGTCTATCATCCTCCTTGCAATATTTTCAGCAATAACCGAAGCGTGATAAGTGAAATGAATTCAAAGGATCCAATGATAAGCGTTTTAAAGCTACTGGGAAAGGTGGAATGTAAAAAGGACCGGTTATTAGATTATACTCCTATTGACTATGCAATTGCGAGTGCCTCTCTTAATTTGGCCAATGTTTTATGTAAGCAACTAGAGAGTATTGATGGCTGTATTACACTGCCAGCGCTAGATACGGCACACGCTTCCTCTCAACTCAACATATTCAAATTTGGATACTTAGAAATGGCACTCGTGAAGCATACCACTTTTACCGAATTAAAGAAATTAGAGCAAATCTCATTCGACAAGGAGAGTCACCCCATTCATCACGCGATTTTCAACGGGCGTATTACGGCGCAACTACCATGCGACACTGCAGCTGCGCCAATATCTACCCAGTCTCAGATTATACAAGGTCTACTCGAACAAGGAGTACATGTAGACAATCCGGACAATTCCGGAAAAACTGCTTTACATTGGGCTGCAATCAAGGGTCATCTAAGTGTGGTTAACATTCTTCTGTCTTACTCGGCTGATCCAAATGCGGCAGACTTTAATGGAATGACCATCCTGCATTATCTTTCCATGCGATCAGACGGAGATGCGGAAATTATAGCCGCCTTATTGGAACGTGGTGCGGATGTGTCAAAGAGGGACAAGAAATATAGAACTGTTTTGCATTACGCGTACTATTACAGCACACATAAATTATCAACGCAATTTCTGAACAATAGAATTCCTCTTGATGACTTATTAGCTGTTGATGTTGGAGGTAATAGTATTTTGCACTTCGCAGCGTATAAAGGCGACGAAGATATAGTGCAGCAACTTATAGCGTTAGGAGTAGACGTGAATATTACGGATGCTTTCCAAACTCCTTTGCACTGTGCATCACAGGAAGGTCACCTGGACGTAGTTAAATGTTTATACTTTAATAATGCAGATTTGAAGATTGTGAACATATCTGGCATATCTCCTCTAATGGTAGCTGTCCTTAACAATAAAATTGACGTGGTTAAGTTCTTACTAAGTAAAAGCGTGTTTATCTCACAGACGGATCGGATGGGAAGAACTGCATTATACCATGCAATCGAAAGAAACTATGAACCCATAGTGGCCGCTTTATTAGAAAAAGCAAAAGATGAAGATTTTAGCAGTAGAGAATATTCACACGTTATACATTGGGCAGTCTTTAAAGGCAATGGAAATATCATCAAATTGCTTTTATCGCGAAAAGTGAAGTGCACAGTTCTAGATGAGTATGGCAGAACTCCACTTATTTGTGCATCCACTTGTGGTAACACTTCGGCCGTGCAAGTATTGTTGAATGAGAGTGATGTACTCGCACAGGATAGCGAAGGTATGAACTCTTTACACTGGAGCTGTTACAATGGACATACAGACACTGTGCGGATACTTCTACCACACATGTCAAACATTGAATTAAAAGATAACAAAGGACGGACTGCTTTAAATTGTTGCGGAAATAACGATAACACCGATATCGCCGATCTCTTGTTCGCTCGGAATGCCGATGTGAACACTGTTGATAACAACAAGATGACTCCTTTAAACTGGGCGGCGCATATCGGCAACTACGAAATGGTAAAGTGGTTATTACAAAGAAACTGCGCTCTAGCAATTGAGAATCATTGTGGAATGACCGCATTGTCCAATTCTGTTAGTAAGGGTCATCATGAAATTGTGCGCCTTCTCTTATCTCATCCATTTCCCATGGAGGTACGTAATTCTGCGGGCATGAACGGTTTGCATACCGCGGCGATCCATGGCCATCTAGATATAGTTTCATCATTCGCGAGAAAAGGCGCAAATTTGGAAGCAACAAGCAGTAATTGCAACAGAACTGCTTTAATTTACGCGGCACAGTTTGGACATACGTCCATTGTGCATTACCTTATTAACCAAAAGGTTCAGTTGAATGCTGCGGACAGTGACAACATGACGGCTCTTAATTGGGCAGCGAAACGTGGATATAACGGTATAGTCACGTTATTAGTCAATAACGGAGCGAAGAAGGAAATTCCAAATAAGCATGGAGAAACTCCTTTTCTATCCTCTATAGGCAATGATCACTCCGATGTCACCGAAACACTGCTTTCAAAAGGTGTCAACGTTCATGTTGTACCTAACTATGGAATGCCTTGCATTCACCAGGTGGCATATCTGGGTAATGTGAAAATATTTAAGATGCTGGTGGATAAATTTGCTGTCGATTTCAAGGATACCATGGGTAAGACAACTCTAATGCATGCAGCCATCAACGGTCACAATGATCTGATAAGCATTCTGCTGGAAAAAGGAGCATCAATATGTGCGCAGGATGATTATGGTATGACTGCTCTACATTGGGCTTGCTATGATGGTTATGTAAGCACAGTGGAACTATTACTATCAAAAGGTAACAGTGCTGATTTAATGGACCATTTTATTCTCAAGGAATTCTTGTGTCGGAAGCTAAACTGTACATCTGTACATCAATACAATAAACGTAATTTTCTCATCCCTCTCCCAAGGTGTGGGTTTAATTCTGGTCTACAAGTAGTAATTCCGTGGATATTGAGATTTCCAAACCCCACACACGGTATGAATTTACTTCAATGGTGTTGCTCTCACGGATATATAGACATCGTGCGAATAATGTTACCGCATGTTCTAAATCTCGAAGAAAAGGATGACTATGGTCGAACTGCGTTAATTTGTTGTTGTCAAAATGGTTACACTGACATCGCGCGCATTTTACTAAGTCGGGGCGCTGACGTAAACACGCTTGATGAAAACGAAATGACTCCTCTAAACTGGGCGGCACATAACGGCCACCATAAAACCGTCAAATTGTTGTTACAAAGCAACTGTATGCAAAGAATCAAGAGTAATTCTGGACCGACCGTAATGTCCACCTCTTTTGGTCAATGTGATCAAATAATTGCGCGTCTGATCTTAGCCAGTTCTGAGGGTGGTGCACGAATCTAACTGATTAACAACGCTGGAGGTAGCAAACGAAAATGGAACTGGAACTGCTTCAACTATGTCACCAAACTAGCCCATCGTGCAGATAGTGGTGATAGGTACTATAACCTCAGACGCGATATAGTTATGTATACTTATCCAATGACATTAGCTACTTGAATAACGACGACTCGGGCAATATCATTGGTAACCTCATCAAAAAGGTCATCCGATTAGTGAATTTTCCAAAACTGGATCAAGTTGTACTGCTAATTTCAAAGGATCCTCAAGATAAAAGCCAGCGTCCCGCAAGTCAAAGATCTAAAAGGCGGGGTTGGAGAACAGTCCTTTATTTAAGCATTTTGTTATCCCCTAACTGTCATATTGTTCTTATCTACTGTCTATTACTTTGTAAAAAGGCTATGTAATGTTTATTTTGTATATGTGCAATATACATCTAATCTAATACTTTTTTATTAATTCGCCATGGTTGACCTTAGATGGGTACGCTAGTTGCTACTCTTCATGATAGGATAGGAACATAAACACATCGTGTAAGTGAAGGTTTAGCTGGTCTTGGTTAATAATTTTTGTTTTAGGTTGATTCTCTCGTTGACCGAATTTTCCGAAAAATGAATTTAAGATTAATTTTGCTACAAACGTAGGCCTGGGTTAAATGCAATGTTATAGGTACCTTCCTTTTTATAAAATCAAGCAATATAAGCTGGTTTTTAAATAAACGACCTGATTTGCCATCATACTGCTCCGTTTTATAACTCCAAACTTTGTATACCTCCAAAACGCTACAACCCTTATCTATAGATCTCTAGATTAATTTCGTCGACCACCCATGTGCCCACAATCACTCTATCGCCTTTTTCGTGACAACAATCCTTATGCGTAAAATTTTTACCACACGAATAACACAAAGGGAACATTAACTTATTATTTAAGTTTATTGGAAGAACGGGATTAGGAGGTAGTACCTCGCTTTTGTGATGTCGATATTGGCAGTCACTTCCTACTAAAACCTAAGGATGGGCAATAGGAAATTGGCCTACTTTGCAAATGTAGGGATACAACTATCACCTCGTAACCTAGTTGATTAAGGTGATTGATTTTTGATAAGGTACTTTCGTTTCTTAAATCCATTATTTCGTATGAGCTACTATGTACAGGTTTGTTGCGATCAATTTCCTTTTGCACATCAAAGTTGTCCTTATTTTCTGCGTACCAACTAATGAATTTATCTCTTTCGTCGGTCTTTGTAGCATCTGAATTGCCAGACTTCATGTCGGTATACGGTAGCAAAGTTTGCCAGGCAAAACAGATTTAACAATATTTAAATAATGGTTATGTTTAGGTACATTTTTGAAATAAGAAAAAATGCCCTATCAAATGACACAAAAAATAAAAATGACTTCCATAAGAAAAAACAAAGTTGATGATGGTTAACCGGAGACGAAACGTCAGACTTAAAATTTAAAACTAGCATCGGGATAAAAGTGGCCATAATAATGTGTCATTTATTTTGTAATATCTTTTTAAAACTTCAGTAAAACATAAAAAAGATTTTGCAAAATGCCTTTTTTTCCGGATATCTCCGAAAGTAGTCGGATTTTTGTTAGTTTCAAAACCGCATTTTGTTAAGCATCAAAATACGCAACTTTGCCAAATTTAAAGTACCTACCTATCTCTTACAGTTTCCGGGTGACCCTTCATTTTGAATCGACCTGTATATGTGATAATTAGAAAGGTAACTTTAAATGAGTGAGATGTGCTTTGTATCAGTCTCAGATTCGTCTATTTTGTGTTCTGGAAATTTATGTGGAGTAATTAACTGCAGGATCTTCTATTGTTTCCCAGGAGATTAAATAGAGAAAAAAGAGGAAATGCTGCTGAAAGCATCTTAATTACAAACGTTACTACAAATGCTTAATAAAATTGCCTGCAAGCATCTACAATTAATGTCTAATAGAAAAACAGATTTTGGTCCGTATGCTAAAATCCACATTTCGGTTTAATCTGTTGCATTATGTATAGGCGGTAATGCTGCTTAAGGGAACAATTCTCACCTGGAATTACACCTCTCAAACCTATCATTTATGTTTCCTAAATTACTTTTTAACAAATAATGGAGGACCTAGGGTGTTTTAATTGATTCGAGTTCTAGTCGAAAATAGGAAAAATACGCCATGCAATTTTTGCACTTTATTACCCCTGAAAATAACTGCAATGCAAATAAAAACCATCCATTTAATAAAATTTATAGTCAACGTCTCGACTGGAAATTTAATTTTCTTATTTATGATTTAATTTCCCAACCCGTCTATAGGGAGAATTTCTGTTTATCACAAAGGAGCAGTTTTCACTCATCTAGCATCAATATAATATAACTTTGGCACATCAATCATTTCGCTTGAACGTTCACCTACGGTTCATTGAATTTATTAACACACATTATACACTGGTATCTTATAATAATCTGTACAAGGTACATTTATATGGTATGAAGTTCGCCGACAAAATTCTGAAGCAAGTCGATTTTAATCCATTCAATTTGGCACCGCCATAGTTTCTTTTTATTTTGCTTTGAACGCAAGTTTACAGAAACATAAATGCGATTAGTTCTCCAATTGCGTTGCTTTGTTTTAATTTATTTAAGTGATCGGATCGGTAATAGTACGTTGTGAACGATTGAATGGATTTTCTTCCAAAAATGACGTAAAATTAATTAATGAAGTTGTATCAATGGAAACATCTGTGTACAGTGATTGTCGACTAGTTAATATCTTTTCTTTCCACATATGTTTCTATATTTATTGATACAAGAAGGAATTTCAAAACGTTGACCTATAGTTAGGCAATGATTTTACATATTAGCACAGGAATTGTACCTCAAAAACGGCTGTCATTAAATTCAATTAAATTAATTCATAAAATCTGACGATTGATATTGGTTCCTCAGACAGGGAAAGAAGTCCCCAAAAATCTCTGTTATGGAAAATATACAGGACCCAATCGAAATAAGACAATGTTAGTATTAATTTTTGTAAAGTCGCACTAGTAATCCCTATCCCAGCAGACTGTCCTACTAAGTTCCATTCGCATTTCTAAATAAAAACACTGTTCGAACCGAAGGTAACAGTACTTGCGCAAAACACTTTCGCAATTGAGTAAAATCGGAGTTTTGACTCGCTCGGTTCGTTGGTGCTTTTGGATAACCGCTAAGCAGTGACTATCGGAAAAGATACACAAGTAACAAGAACGGCCTTCCGTGATAACGTATTTTGAGGGAAAAGGAGCAGAAGACGAGTCTAATGAACAAGGACGCCCGCCTAACCTCAAAAGGCGATTCGCCGCTGTTTGCTGGACAAGGAACACTTCCCGCCATTAAATCGGCGTTCATTCCTGCCACTATTTGCGAAAGGGGTGCACTGCCTTTACTATAGAAAGCCCGTTGAGCGGCCATAACACTCCTTTGGCGCGGAAAAGACAGGCATACACAATCAACAACACAAAGGCTGAAACTATAACATCGAAGGCAGTTGCTGAGGGGGTGATTCCGGTGATTCGGTTAATGTGAGTATTTGGGCAGAACTCGACCCAGACAGTCACATGCGTTCCCATTTGTATTGCTTCAGGAAATTCAAACTTGCTTCTCTTCTATTTTGGACAGCCGGTTGATAAAACCACGCAGTGTGCCTTTGAGGGGATGTGCAGAGAGCTCGAGGAAGATTCAGACTGTCAATTTTCAGTGAATTAACGACGCGGCTAAATGAATTAGCAGACTGTTACAGTTCACTCGAGTTGAAAAGAAGATATGGAGACCAGAGTATTTTTACTGCGAGATCGCGAGATCATCGCACAGGCAATGATGCCTACGGTCCGTCATTGCTCCAATTTTGCTGCATTTAGACGCCTATTTGTGTTAGAAAGAGGGCGGCCGTCCTCTGATTCAAGCTGCACAACCTGGGGTTTTTCCGGAACTACAGTGAGACCAGACGCTTAGAAGAGCTCGGGGAGACAGTACGTAACAGGAGGAAGAGCCGGTAGGAAGGAATCCGTCGTGGAGCGTAGCAAAAAGAAAGGCTGGAGGCAGCTGTGCTCGGACCTCGAGAACGACGCTTGGGGCAGAGCTTACAAGAACAGGAAACTTAGGAGGCAAGCTACTCGAAAGGGTCCTGGTCAAGAGATTGGAAAAAATACTGGCGCTATCGACCAAACAATTCCGCTTCCGGAAAGGAAGGAACAAAACCAGTTTGACACGTCTATTGAAAACTGAACTATAAAAGGAAGTGGTTAAAGGACAGGGGAGATGCGGATGTGTTGACTGTCCACACGAACCTCGATCTAGCCGACGCACGGCTGCTTAAATCCCCAACCAATTTTTCGGCAACCACTGGCAGTTTCATTTTCGTCTTCGCAACTTTTTCCATTTATCCGCTAAACGGTATAAACAGACCACAACTTCCTCCACGGTGAAAACTGTGTTAACGAAAACCGTACTATAGGTACCGCGATCAACAATGAATTTTGGAACAAGAAATCGATTTATTGGAACAATAAATTTAACAATCACATCGTTACGATGTATTGTAGCCTTTACCGATACGAGTACCAAATTTTGTAATTTAAGGTTAGTATAGAAGTTCTGGACTTTTTTTGGCACAACATTGCTAATTGAAAAGCGCCTTTTCTTATACCCATTATATACCTATTATGTTAATTTAACAATATATGAAACTACTTTCGCCCACAATTTGTGTAAGACGGCATTTAATGTTGCTTCTTGTTAAAGGTTGACCCAATAGCTCTCTTTGCAAGGTACCCTAAAATAGAAAATAAAGCGTAAATGCGATTTGAAAGGCAGTTACGTTTTCATCTTACCTGAATTTGGATGGAACAGTGCGAAAAACGCGATGACCATAAGCGCATATGAGATCTTCATCTTGGAGAAGGTTTATACTCACGCCAATTTTTCCTTTATAACTGGTAACTAACAAATTCTCCATTATATAGACCTGAAACTTCCTGAGATGTAAAAATTAAGGAAACAACATTACTATCGCTGCAATGCAATTAGAACTTGCCCTCATTAACAATTTAAAAATTGACGATTTTAACTATGGCATACTAGGTTATCACTGATGTACTACATCCAGTAGAAAAGAAGTAGAATTATGCTATATAAGGGTATCCTAGTCCTAGAATCTGTAATTTTTGCAGGAACCATAAGAAAATGTATATGCAAACAAAGATAAGCACCTACTGTTTAGTTCACTCCATAAAAACAATAGATTAATAACGGATTTCATTGTGAATGTGGTAGAGATTGATGATCTTAGAGTTTGAAAGGTCTCCCCTACAATTTTAAGCTCGTCATTTTCACACTGGAAAAACTCTCCGAAACCAAATTTGTCGAGAACAAATCTTTTTCGCATTTTTCCATCGTATAGGAATTTT